GCCCAGCCCTATCCTGGTGGACTCATCAGGTCTTTTTTCTATGTTCTTAATCTCTAAAACTTATTTTTTATTTGATACTGACCATAGGTGTTCATTAGAGTAGATCTGAAATAATGCATAAACTTCCTCATTTCTACTAAAAATGCCAATCTTTATGTGTGAGTTTGTTTACTGGCTGTTTCAACGATAGACAGTGTCCAGGTAAAATTACTGACCTCCTTTCCCCCCCATACGAGGGACTATTCACAAGTGAGGACTAAGCCTTCTTTTAATTTCACCCTCGTCCATAATCCTCTTACCGATCCCACACCAGCTCTGAATACACAAGGTACAAGAATGCTTGCAGTTTTCGACACCTTATAATCACAAAGACTATCTGGAACTCGATTAAATGAATACCAAATCATTTACCCAAAGAAATATTCCAGTATTTCTACAAAACTTAATGTCTTTTCTATCTGGAAATTATTTTAGGCAATAATTTGAACACATCCTGCCAAAAGTAAAGGGGGTGTTGAAACAAATTTTTGCACAGGAAACCTGAAATTCTTTTTGCAGATACAGAAGCATAGCTGGTACAGAAACATAACTTGTTGACGGTTTCAGACACAGCTCAAGGCCATGAGTATAGTGTCATGGCTTTTGTCATTCAGCTCCAGTTTGAGAGTCACCAAGCTCAGTGGCCTCACCCAGGCTGACTGGAGAAATGATGTTTCTTAAAAATCTCTTTGCTCCTTACCACCAGCATCTCGTGTCTCTGAGGGCTCTGAGATAAAGTAGCTAAGTTTGTCTGCCTCAGGTTGGAATGGCGACTGTGGATACAATGCAATATAAATTATTAGAAATATTCCCCTGCCTGTCAGTAAAGTCTGCTTGGTGGAAGCATACCTCTTGTGAGAACACCCTTCCAGCAGGGATTTCAGCCCTGAATATCTTCCGTGTTGCCTGCCCTATAGACTTCTCTAATAAGTATTATTTGTTTTATTGAAGGTCTGAGGCACTGAATGCCAAAAACACAATGCAGGGGGAAGGAACTATTATGAAATCAATCAAATGAAACCAATTTGGATTTTAAGTCTATCATTTTCTTCAATAAACAAATTATTTTGATACTGGGCAAAACTGCGTGCTGGAAAACTGTCTCCTGAATTAACTTTGAAGCAGTTACTAAGATTCCTTCAGTTGCAAAATGAAGATAGCATTTCTCTTGAGTCAAGAGCAGGAAGAAATTCCAAGTCAGCACTCTGTCCCTCTGTATTGATACGCTGGATGTGGCATGAGACACCTTATGTGACCAAGTCTGCGCTAAAGGGAAAGAAGTCATTGCTATCTGTCACATTGTTCCTCTCCTGTTGTCACCTTCCTCAGGACTACACTTACATGCTGCTCCCACCACTTCTAGCCACACTCTTCTCCAGGAAATGCTTACTTCAGTAGAATTTGACAAAGATGTCTGCTTTTCATATGAGCCAGGAATGAGTCTTTTTTTTTTTTTTTTAATCTCATTTGCTTTGATTTCTTTCTTGGTAAACACCAACTTTCATAGCAAAACTACAAATCAGGACAAGCAGACTTCAGATAAACTAGTTCTTTCTAGGTTCTCTGTGTGGATGACTCAAAAGCATCTAGAGTTATTATAAAGTTTTCCAGTGGGGACAGCCTACAAGGCTCAGAACAAGAGCATCCGTCACAATGTGGGAACAAAGTTTCCACAGGACACTGAGAACTACCTCCATTTTCGCTTCAGGGGCCCTACACCCATGTAGGACACGTGTTTTAAAGGACCAATAATGGAAGAAATTCTCAGGTGCCTAACCAATAGGAATATACAGAGAAATAAAATGGTAATCCAGGAGGTACTTTGTCTAGAAATACCGTCTATAACTCAGAGACAGTGATATTAGTTAGTTGGACACTGGAACTGGAGAAGTTCCTTCAAAATCTGTTTGTTCTGGGTAGCTTGTGTGTAAGGATAAGATCCTATCAAGTCCTTCTCCTTAGTCAAGAAGGGAGCACCTCACATTCATATAAGTGCAAAACCTCGGGTAGGACAGTGTCTTCTTAATCACCAAGATCAGATGAAGCACGTTGTGGAATAACACTCCTCAGTTATAAACTGCTGAGCCTAAGTCAGACATATTTAGGTAGAGACAACAAGCAGCTGGTTCAGAGGTATCTAAAGGCTAGAGTTGATGCTGTGCCTCAGCCACATAAGTTAACATAAAACCTTATGTTTTAGTAATGTGCTCCATGGGAAGCAGTGAAGCATAGATACACTAGATAATCAAGAAATTTGTTGGGGGAAGTATTTCTTAGCAAAAAATGCCACAACTCTGATGATCCCTTTTAGTTTCAACAGAATAGCGTGACCAGCGTAATACATCATACATAGATATCTAAAACATAACATGCAGAGCCAAGGTTCAAATAACAAATTTTCACTTCAAAAATTGTTACATTAACAAAAGACTTAATCGCATCACAGTGAAATTTTAAATTCTAAGCCTCTGAAAAGTGATTGTATGAAAAATAACTGTATCACCACCAGTTTAGACAGAGGGAGAGCTAAGAAACGTGCCACAGGAACAATGGAAAGGACAGTACATTCGCCGTCCAAATTGCTTGCAGGTAATACAAAGCTGGACGCATCATCAGAGGTGCCGCCACGCTGCTCATGTCTCTAAGCAAAGCCAAACAAAGCTCCAAATAAGCATATTCACAGCATGCAGCTGACTTGAACACATGGGCCATATCTGGGGAAGCACTTCCTAGTTCAGGAGCAATTACAAAAATCATTAGACTCTTTTTTAATAGAAGAATCAAAAACAGAATTTTCCCATAAATGTTTCCAAAAAGATCCAAACCATTTATTTAGCCTCTATCATGTTAAATGTCAATAGAAAAGTAAATCTGTTATGTCAGTGGTCCTATCAGATAAAGTAGATAAAGTTCCCCAACAAAATATTATTCATTCATTTAAAAAAAATGTGTGGAAAAAAGGAGTAGAGAAGTAGAGAATTGAGGGGAGAGAATCATTCATAAAAGTCCAGTTCCTCACCTATGGGGTTTCTTTAGCTCAGTTAGAGAAAGCACACACATGTCATTGCTTTGGCGTCTTCCAAAAATAAGCTATGACTGTCTGGAGTGAAAGTAATCCTAGAAAAGTAACAATAGAGCGGTCACCAAGAGGTCCTTTCTCTGCTCACAGGATTAGTGCTTTCAGGCAGAAGCTCTGAGCTGTCAAACACCCAAGAAGCGCCTACGACGTGTGTCTGATAGAAATGTAAGTCAAGGGCAAAGACATCATCCCCGTATTCGAACATCGATTTTAAAACTCTTCTTGTGACAGTTAAGCAAAACCATGATTCTTACAGTTCACTGAAGTCCCTCTCGGTGGGGAGGGACTTATGAGATAACTTTATGAAGAGCTAAAATGGAGATAGTGCTACACGACAAACATTTTATTACCTCAGAGTACAGAGCTGAATAGGGCATCTTTTAATAACATATATGGCAACTTCTTTAGTGGCATGTGTTTCACGTGGCTGGTTGCTAGTCACTTGACTCTAACACAGTGATAATACGGCAGTTTAGGAATATTTGAAAACCCCAACAAAGTCTAAAACTCTAATCTTGTATGAAAGACTTCAAGTTAATACATCATTTCCAGGATTCACAAATATAAGTGATAACCCCAGATAAGCAGAGCCTGTTAGCATCTTCCCATGAACATAGCCAAGAAGATGTATTGTCTAAGTCACCTCATCTCAACAGAGAGGAGCGATGGTGGAGGGACGCATTTCTGTCCTTGTTTCCAAGAGTCAGCCGTGGTTGCCAAGTTAAATAGGAGAACGAGTGTAAGAGTCTACCTTAAACTGAGGGCAGAGCCCCGGATGTGGACAGCTCCATCAGACACAAGGTGCAATCCACAGACCCCAAAAATATAAATCAGAAAGAGAACAAAACGTACAAAAGCTATTAGCTTTCAAACTTCAAAATCCACCCAGAGACAGTTAGAAACAGAAGCTAAGGTCCTTGAAAGTGACCTTCACAAATCAGTTCTGGGGTTTCCCCCTAACCCTCCCCATTTTCTTTCACAGTTTAAGCCTCAATCAAATCAGCCGTCTCTGGGGGTTTTAAAATTGCTGTAGATTAAAATCCTCTCGGACCCAACTGTCTCCCTAATGCCAAGTATTTAATAATTCTACTTGGAAGGGATGTTTTTGATGAAACCCTGCTGTGTGCTATCTTCAGATGCTCGGCAGCTGCTCCACAATACGAAGCACTGCTGTCCTTATTTTCTTTATCACTCCATTTGGAGATGAGAAAATTGTTACACACAGTTTCTATATTTGGCAGAGCTGGCAGAGTACAGCTTTACAATACTGATGCAGCAACTCTCACCTACCCGAGGCAGAGACCGACTTCCAGGTACTAATGACACATCATCCTGGCGTGGGCCCAAGGATAGGAAGTTAATAACTGTGATAGATAGACTAGAGCTAAGTTAATGAATTTCTAAATTTCATGCTTTCAATAACAGGACCGTTTAAGCCTCAGCATTTGGACTCTCTCCTTCCACAGATCAGGCACTCTGACACTCAACAGGTTGAGTAAATTGAATCCATATATTGTATTTACGTTCTCTGTCAAGGTTGCTTCTCCACATTTAAAAGATCAAAGGCAAAGCAGTCATCAACCCTGTAGCCTTCAATACTGTGTTCATTACATTTAATCAAGTGCCAACTCCACCACATCATTCACCAACCTCAACAATATTTAAATGCATGGCACTATTCAGCAACAAATGTCGGTACAGTATTGTTGTAAAACACACACACACACACACACACACACACACACACGCAAGCACACACGTCCTAAAACAAAACTAAAAACAGAGAGAAAGGTAAAATATTATCATTCTTCACACTGTGCAAGAAAGGGAATTTAAAAATGCACAGAACTACCCAGTAACCATTTTGGAGGTACTTTTCTACCTGAGGCAGCATCAATCACGGTGGAAATTCCTCTTCGATCTGAGACTGGACGGGATGACCCTGGCATGCTGACTGGATCAGAGCGGACCGGCTGAATCCTGCAATGCAATTTAATTTAATTCACATATGTTACTGGCATCAAAACTGTCACTTCCTACAACAGACCTTAAATCAGGAATGCTGGCATAGCCCAATTCATTAAAGAACCATTCATTCTGAAGCAGGGCAAACAGGGGAGCCGTGGTCCCTGACTCTTGCACAAGGCACAGCAAAAATTTTCTACACTCCTGACCCGCCTCCCCCACCAACACTTCTCTTTGTATGTTATTTAATATCTTTTAAGTAAGGGATTGGATATTTGACATTAATCTAAAGAAATATATTAAGTAAATTGGGAGAGAAAACAAAATACTTCATAGAGATCTTTGGCTTTTGCAAGAGGCAAATATGAAGAGTTCTGAGAATCCTCTAATTCAAGAAAAATGCAGTACCAAGCAATGCCTTCTATAAAAGCCAGCAATACTAGATACACATTTTTTAGTAACTGCCTTAAAACTCTCAGTGAAAGTTACTTTATATAAGACAATAAGTATAAGACAGCAAAACTGTGTTGAAGTGCCCAAACTGGTTTGGCTCAGTGGATAGAGTGTCAGCCTGCGGACTGAAGGATCCCAGGTTCAATTCCAGTCAAGAGCATGTATTATATGTTGGCTGAGTACACATCACCAGTGGCGGGTGTACAGGAGGAAGCTGATTGATGTTTCTCTTTCTTCAATATTTCTAACTCTCTATCCCTCTCCCTTCCTCTCTGCGAAATATCAATAAAATATATGGGTTTTTTTTTTGTTTTTGTTTTTAAACTGTGTTGGAGGTGACTATCATGGATTTAGTTAGGATCACAATTATCTGACTGAGTTACCTCCATAAAATTATCAATTAGTATGAAAGAATCAAATAGAATCCCAGAAAAACTGCAATTTACTAAAGACAATTTCAAATTGCTTATGAATGGTAAATCTATAAATACCAAGGGTCTATTTGTGGCTGTATTATATTAATAACACAAATATACAATTATCAGTAAGACTAAAAAATCGAAGCTTCCTAAGCAACTTAATAGAATAAAAAAAAGTGCTATAACAATATATGCATGCATTTGGAACTTTGTTTATTCAATAAGCATTTGCTGAAAATTAATCATGTATCACAATTATTTTAGGAATAAGCAGAAACAAAACGTGAAATATAAGGTGTGTGTGGGGGTATATGGTATAGCACAGGGACTGGGGGAAAGATAACTAACGTATCAAAATGAAGAAGGTGATAAAGGCTCCGAATGGAGTTGCAGAGGAATGAAGGAATGGTCCACGGCAGATGAAGAGTTTGTCACGGGGTAACAGGAATTGCACGGGCATACAGTAACAGCGTATGTATACATGCAGAGGAGCAAGAGGTGCCCATGAGGCACAAGAAGTAGAACAAGAAAGCCCTTGGATTTGTGACTGAGCGTGAGAAATGCAGGTGCAGTGAGGAGGAGGATTTAACTGAAGCATGGAGTTGCTAGTGGATACTGATGGAAGAGAAGAGGTTAATAATCACCATGGGACAGATTACACAAGCCTAAAATGCCAAGTATAAGCTGCAGAAAGAGATTGGAGCTATTGAAAGCACAGTTTAAATGTGTATGTGTTTGTTATACAAAAGAAATGGAAGGGAGGTAAAGTGCAAATTCATTTGATCGCGTACCAGAAGTTGGAATGATGTTGTTAAGCACTGATCACTGCCGTCATGGGCAATGTGGTGTACAACCCAATGCCCATTCCTCCCGGCTTATTTTACCTGAGCCGAGGTAAAACCGTTGGGGCAGAGAAAAGAGGAGGAGATCATCTGAAATGTCTGCAAAAGGTGTTCTCTGGTTCTTGAGAGAAACAAAAAGCCAGTCTACGGTCAGGTGAGGCAAAGTAAAGCTCCCTTCTGGCCTCAAAAACTTATGTAGCCTAATAAGTTTCCTAATATTAATTCAATCTATAACAGAGTTTCTAAATAATCCAAAGTTGTGAGTGAAGTGTGGCTGGTGCTATGGATAAAACAAGACTGGCCAAGAATCGGTGTGTTGAAGTTGGGTGACAAACACATGGGGTTTATTCTATTATTCTCTTTCATTTTATACACGTTTTATAAGCTTGGTTGCGGGCACATCCCCGATTGGGGGTGTGCAGGAGGCAGCTGGTCGATGTTTCTCTTTCATTTTATATATGTTTATTTTTTCATAAGAAAAGAGAAAAATAAAAACAAACTGACAGAGGTAATGAAAATGCAGCATTAAATAGTGAGGATGTTGAATTGCACAGTGATTTTTATATATCTGTTTATTTCTTTTAAATTTATTTTTTGGTATTTTCATTTATTTTGTATTGAATTTACTGGGGTGACATTTGATAATAAAATTACATAGGTTTCAGGTGTACAGCTAGATAACAAATAGTGGGAGCTCTTTAGTGTAAGGAGAAGGAAAGTCCCTGACGAAAATTCTGGAAGGGTTTCGGGAACGTAGCATTGGGGAAATATAATCCGAAGCACACCGTATCTAATGAGATCTCACCTGAAATCCCCAACAATAAGGAATCACAAAATGCAGAACCTGAATTCTGCAATAGGATGCTGTTCCCAAATGGAGAAATGTAAATGTTGCCGAAGATGCTCATTACAATTGAAAGTAGAAACCCAGTCAAGTGACTCCGCTTTCTTTCTTACCTGAGACTGTTGAGATCAAGATCATCCGTATCAAAATCCAAAAGGGGCTGTGGAGTATCACTTGGGCCATGAGGCTGCAACACTGACGAGCTGGACGATATGACTGTGGTCTGCCCTGAGGGGTGGATGGTTTTGAACTGGAACTGTGGGCCCATCCACAGACGCCGGTGGGGTCCAGTGTGTGTCACAATCTCTACCTGAAGCGGAATAGGACTCATGATTTCAATGTGGTAGGACCTTTGAGAGCCTTTCACAATCTTCCCCCATCTGGTCCCTGAACACAAATATTCTCCAAGAAGTTCATTTATCGAGTGAAGGAGGGCCAGGACACCCACAGTCAAAAGGCAAAGATAATCACAGCCTAAGCAGACATTCACTATCTCCCTCCTACATGTTTTCACACAAAAATAAGCAAAAATTTCATTTTGTGCATAAATATGTGTATACATACACACAGGTGAAAATATTCACATACACCAGACCCACACATATACAAAACAAAAATCACATGGGAGTAAAAGGACCAGCCACCTGTCTCACTTGACTAGAGTCAACTCCCTAGGAACTACCTTTCTCATTCATTCTGGACAGTACTTACCATCCTGGGCATGTACTGAACCTGCATCTATAAATCCACAGATTAAAAGTGATTCCTGCACTGAGGACCAAGCTCGTGACATGCTTGAAGTTATTTTTTAACTATCCAAGGGGGACAGGTGGAGATAGATATAAATTAATTTTCACCACCCGAAATTCCACTTAAATAATATAATATTTACTAACTCCTATCAAAACATGCCATAATCTGCTGAAACAGGTTTGGCTCAGTGGTAGAGCGTCGGTCTGCGGACTGAAGGGTCCCGGGTTCGATTCTGGTCAGGGGCATGTACGTTGGTTGCGGGCACATCTCCGGTTGGGGGTGTGCAGGAGGCAGCTGGTCGATGTTTCTCTCTCATCGACGTTTCTAGCTTTCTATCTCTCTCCCTTCCTCTCTGTAAAAAATCAGTAAAATATATATTTTTTTAAATGCCATAATCTACTTTTATATTAAGAGAGTGTGTTCTCGGCTACCATGAACAGTGACACAGGTATTTTAAGAGCCACAAAACAGTAAAACCAAAATGGTGTTTGAATTCCATGCTTAGTCAATGGAAGGGTCTGGGAATGCTGCCAATATTAAGTGAAACTATTTAAAGAGAGAGTAGAGTAGAAGATACTGGGTAAAACTTTAAAACAGACGTAGTATGTACTTTTACAAATGAGCAACGTGAGTAAGATGCACATATCAAACCTTTGGTGACAGACTATTTCTCAATGTCTTCTAATCGCTACATCCACGCCTGTGAACGTCCTTGATGGAACTGACTTCCCATATGCCTTCCTTTTGCCCTGAGCTCCTCTATATTTAATCACAAGTCTGGTTGCGGTGATTAGTTCTTACCAAAACATAGTGAAAAGGCTCACAGAGTACAGCTCTGGGTTTGCAAGTTCTGAAGGGCAATAAAAGCATCGTGCTCTGGGAACAATATTCACATTCCCGCTGGTCATGGGGAGACAACCACTCAGTTGGACAGTGATTTCGGAGTTGAGCAGTTGCATTCAGCAATGTAAATTAGGCCACAGAGAAAGCATGCTGAGCGTTTTGAGCTCAAAACCATCAGTGTCACAGAGCCGAGAGGTAAACAGATGCCCACGACATTTCACGGAGGCGATGGCCAGATGTTCCTATTCACTCCCCTGTTGTGTGCGGGACAAACATATTGTGTGGATGTTCACACTGACAGCACACATTACCCCTTTTCCCAATTGAAAAGTTGAGGTGAAGGGCAGTGGTTTCTCTGCCAACCATCTTCTGGGTTTGTGTTTTATTTTGTTTTGTTTTGTGTGTGTGTGTGTTTTAAACTTTATTGTATTATCCTCAAAAAGGATGTTCCATTATCTGCCAGGAACTGAAACACTGACCCTCCTTCAAGGAGCGTTCTGTGAGTATTTTAGGCGTGATGACATGTGTCACCCAGAAGCAATTTGTCTCCCTGGCACCCAGATTCCGGTTAGCTTTCGGCCGCCCTCCCTGTGAAAGCTGTAAAGTGGCGCGGCCGCGCCGGGGCACCTGTCTGATGAAAAGCCACTGGATTGGAAGCGGAGACAGGTCGTTCGCTTCACCGAATGATGTCAGCTTTGAAGCAGACATAACAGGATTTGTAATGAAGTCATTTGTAATCTCATCATTTTGAGGGCTGCCCGAGTATCTTTTATTTCAAAGCCCTGAGATGAAGACAGCTTCACCTGGCGCGGGAGGAAGGGTCTCTGGAAGCCGCTGTGGGGCTGCTGCAGAGACCGGGGGACGCAGCCCCACATGAGCCGAGGAGAGGAGAACCAGTGGGGCAAACCAGGACTCGCAGAATAGAATGCTGAACTTCCCCGACCAAAGTATGAGCCTGATTTTCAGAAAATGTTGGCCCTACAAAACAAATCCCAGGGAAAGCTGAATGATTTCAGTTTTAACAAGGCCAATTCTTATGTTAATCCAAAGTGTCCATCTAAAATCCAAGGTCCTGAGGGATATAACCGGACTGTTTGAAAGGTAAGTGTACTTTATGCCCTTTGCATGAAAGCTAATGCACACACACACACAGGTGTGTGTGTGTGTGTGTGTGTATAAAATAATAGGTGTTATATATTCCTGCAACAGTATTTAGGAAAAATTCTTAATATGAAAAGACAACTGATTAGCTTATCAGCAATCCTAAATAAAAGGTCCCCGTTCTGTCCATTTTCCTCTAAGGAAAATACTTTTTAAAATTCAAGAACAGAAACAGACAACAGATTCCTATTTTCCTTCATTCTTATAGGCCAGACATTTCAGAGTTTTACCTGAGAAAGCCATTCTTCATCTTCCTGTCCACTGTGGTCGGAACCTAAACTGTCATAGGACCCGTGCCGAGTAATGGGCCCAGGACTTCCAGGGGGAACCACTAGAGGAAAAAGAAAACATATTAAAATCGCTTTAATCCATGCAATGGGAAAATGAATGCGGGCACAACCATCCTGGATATTGTGGTACTTTATAAAATATGACATTTAATGCACAAAGACAACTCAAATAATTAATGAACAAAAAAGACTCAGTGTCTCTGGAATAAGAAAGATACTCTATTAAGAATACACTTTAGCCCTGGCCAGGTAACTCAGCTGATTAGAGCATTGTCTGGATACACCAAGGTTGTGGGTTCCATTCTGATCAAGACACATACAAGAATCAACCAATGTATGCATAAATAAGTGGAACAATAAATCAATGTTTCTATCCTTTCCTCTCTCTCCAAAAAATAAATAATTTTTTACAAGTAGACTTTAAAAAATTCCTGCAGGAATTTACTCATGACATATCACTGTAAAAAGAAATAAACCACTAACTATAAGAATGCTCTTCAGCTGGTTTTAAGCCTCTCGTAGGTAAGTTTCAAGTTTCTCCTCAGGCACTCCCCGAAGAGCTCCACTCTGTGCCTACACGGTTGATGCCTGGAAAGCAAATAAATCTCCTCTGCACCCGGGTGAAGAACCCAGCCCTGCATAATAAGCCAGAGCCCAGTACCAGTTCACTGCGTTTCTCTACTATGTTCTCCCTCTCGAAGCATCGCACTCCCTCCGGTCTCCTGCCCCTCCACCATGTTTTCAGTAAGCCTCTTCTTTAACGAATGTTTTTTAACTGATTTTTAGAAAGAGATAGAAAAACAGAAACACTGATGAGAGAGGAAATCATCAATTGACTGCCTCCTGCACAGCACTCCCCTGCTTGCAGGGGAGTGAACCTGCAGCCAGGGCATGTGCCAGGACTGGGAACTGAAGCGGCAGCCTATTGGTTCCTGGTTGAACCACTGACCCACACCAGCTGGACATAAACCTCTTCTTTTGAATCTTGTTTAGACTCATCTCTTACCTTGATGGGTCTAAACAAGATTTTCATATTGAAGGGGGTGGGGCAAGAACCCTTTTACCAGTGACAGTAGAATATAGGCTTCAAATACAAAGAGCCTACTGCAGTAAACTTGGCTTAGGAAAAATAATTCAACAATAATTTATTGAGTTTCTATTATCATCCACATGTAATCCTAGTAAGACATAGCCTCTTCTTTTTAAAGCCTCATTATATTTATTTGCTAAGTGTTATTATAAAGTAGACTATTTTAAAACCAATTTTATAGTCCCAGCAAAATTGAGCAGGAGATACAGAGATTTCCCACACATTCTCTACTGACATATACCATTTTAATACTACTACTAATAATAAAAATAATTAAATACTGTGGAAAAATAGAGTAAGGAAAAGAGATGGAAGAAAAGAGGAAGAAGTATTACAGAAATGTGGAAAAATAGAAAATAATAAGAAACAGAAAATAATCTCATAATTTCCACCACCCAGAGGTATATAAATATATTTCTACATGCATCTTCCTTAGGTTATATTCCTAAAAATGAAATCAAAGGATCATATTTAAATTCCTATATGCATATTCCCAGAACTATACATTTCCACTAACAGTGACTGAGAATGCTAATCTCACTGCACTTTTGCCAGGACAGGAATCTTGAAAAACTAAATATTAATGAAACAGAAATGAAGTAGACAGAGAAGAACCTAGGGCAAGATTTTAAAGAACACATATGAATACCTTAAACCACTGGGACAGTCAATTGCTCAATTGGGGGGGTGGGGGAGTGGAGAGAGAGAGGAGAGAATGTCTCAGTGGTTACAACAAGGATAAAATGTCCCCAACTCTCCCATCTTATCTTTGCACTATATAAGCCCCTATCAAGTTTAGATGCAATTTTGGAGAAGGTAATAATTGATTAATTTTTTTTCCACATTTGTTAGAATAAAGGTGCAAAATGAACTTAAAAGAGTTTAATTATAGAAAAAGTGGACTATCTATCTTGCAAGTTTGAGTTTAATGAACAAGCATACATATATACACCTCTACCTCTCCTCAGAAAAACATTTAGCTCTAGCCAGGTTAGATCAGTGGATAGAGCACTGGCCCTCGAACTGAAGGGTCCCAGGTTCAATTCCGGTCAAGGGCATATACCTCAGTTGCAGATTCAATCCCCAGCTCTGGTTGGAGTGGGTGCGGAAGGCAACCAATTGATGTGTCTCCATCACATCAATGTTTCTCTCTCTCCCCCACCTCCCACTCTCTCTAAAAACACAATGTGAAAATATACTTAGGGTACGGATTCAAAAAAAAAAGGGTGGGAAAAAGAAAAGAAGGGAGGGGGGAGGGAGGGAAAGGAAAGGGAGGGAGGAGGGAGCGAGGGAAGAGAGGTTGGTTTAGTATATTTTACCTACTGTTCTTAAATAATTAATAAAGCTGAAATGGGAAAAGTTTGAAATTTTGAAACAAAAACATCTACCATGTTCCATCCCTGACTTTATCCCTACTACTAAAATAATATAAAACAAGCCTATCCCTCTAAATAAAAAGGATACCCTGTCAATTTATTTTAGAGAATATAACTTCAAAAGTACTGCCTCCACACAGGCATTTGGTGAGTATAGATCAACAAGCCAGGGCAGGATGGGCAGATCTTTATGAGGTAACTGTGAGCCAGACTTTGTTTATATCGTGTCCTCAGGAAAGCAGATCATGCTACTAGTGAGTAAATAAAAGTTAAAAAAAAAATCACGAAGTGTATTTTGCTGTCTTACAGTGATAAATGTGGGAGGGGATGTATACATGTGTTTCTATATATATTTTATGTTTATGTGCAAAGCAAACAAAACGCAATGTGCTTCAGTGCCGACCTTTGCAAATTGGTTCTGTTCATCCAAACCCCAAAGAATTCCAAGTAAGCATTACTTAAGTAAAGTTATGAACAAAAAAATTTGAATGGTCTTTTGATCATGCTTTTAAGCCTGAATTCCACATAACAAAATCCTCAATATTCCAAAATGGAAAACATCTATTGGTGATATCACTTCTCAACTCTATAAATAGTTTCCATGAGTTCTCTGGTTTTGTATTCTTAGGTGTCTTCTGTACTACAATGTCAGGATCAATTGGTATAGAAGTTTTAAAAATTACCCACATAACATACAGCATTTATGATTTAGAGGAAGTTAAAAACATTGACTTAGAAGCTGTTAAAACTATAGGTACAACGTATTAAGTTGTTCAAATACTAATTGCTAAATTAAAGCGGTATAAACATTGTATTGCCAGATACTGAAAGTGGCTCTAAAGTCTCCTTTTTTAACATGGTTTAATGGGAGGGATTTAGGGTAATACTCGTAGGTTAGGATATGCAATTTGAAGAACCAAGATTCCAACAATGAGTTACTAGTCCTGTGAGTTGTATGTGAGCCACAGCTCTTGGCTTTGGCTTCTGCTGAAAGCCCTAGTCCTGGAGAAATGTTAACCTGCTGACATTTCAGAGTGTTTTCTCCAAAACAATAGCAGTACATCCTCAATTTCAAGGAATCAAATTCTTTCTAAATTACCCCAAATTTAACAGCTGGCTCTCAGAAACCTAAGTTCATTCGCAACAAATCTAGTATTCTGGTTTGAAAACTGGAGGAGATACGTTTTTATCATCTGTATATGGAATATACCTAATATTAGGGCAGGTAATTACTTTTCTTAGTGTGTTCGACATGGTTTAGGTATTCAGGAAAAAATAATCTCCTAACTATGGAGTTTACAACATGGTACATAGGGTCTAGGTGTTCCATTAAGATGAAAGAATAAAAAAAAAATTTATTTGCCCCCAGCACCATTTGCTTTTAAAGCAATGAAAGAAAAAAGACTTGACAATGCATATCAAAGCTAAAACACTAACCACATATGGGTCATAAGCATCCTTTTTACATAAACTAACACAAAGCACAATATTGAACACAGGGTAGTGCTTATTTATAAAAACAAGGAAGGGAAATCCATTTGGTTCTGTTCTGTTCTTGTTCTATTCTCCCTTCCATTTCTTGAACACCCAGTAATAAATTTTCTTAGCTGGAGCTCTGGAAGCTTCGGAGGACATAGCTAATGAACTACAGGTTCTGTTGCTGGTGAATTCCATGCTCCCAAATTTAGGAAACATTAAAGCGCTGTACTACTCCCCGAAATGAATCTCAGTGCTATGGAATCAGGGAAATCTGCTTCTCAAATAAGGAAGGAAATGCTGATCCAAATTAACCTACTTATATATAATCAACATAAGATTGTAGACCAATTATAATAAAATAATGATTTTTTTTTTAAATAACAAGTGGTTTCTAGAGTTTTATGTGAGATATAGCTCTTGGCTTTAGCTTCTGCTAAAAACCCTATAATAAGTTCATATGCTGAATATTTGCGCCCAGAAAAAAACTCAGAGATATTTAATATGAAGAAACAAAGATGGATCTATTTCGGAGATGTGAGTGTGAGCTGGGTCCCCTGCTCTCTACCATCTCCTCACCGACCCTCCGGAAACAATAAAACCCTCGCCATGCTGAAGCCTTTAGCGGAGGCCGGAGAGGTGAATAATGTTGTGCCAGCATTACTCAGCCCTTTAGGTTATTTAGGGGAACATGTTGCCTTTTTCTAGCAACAGAAATCTGTGAGTTAGATGACATCATTCTGCCTTGAATGAAACAGCTCAGGCTCCAAGTTCACCCAAAGGCCAACAGTGATAAACTCTCATCCAAGGACAAACTTCAATATAGTCTCGGTACTTATTAAAAACAGCGTTTATAAAGCAACCATCCAATAAGAGAGGGCTCGGTACCAAACTCTGTTTCTGATCAGAAAGCACTCAGGACCTGAGAAAGAATTCTGCTTGGGAATGCAGTTTCTTAGCACAGAAACAAAAATTTGCCTTTAAAAAGAAAGGCTCAAAAGACCATCCAAAAGCGAAATGGCCTCAGGAACTGCCAACGAACAAGCAAGTCACAAGAGGGAAAATACAGAAACCAACAAACATATGTAAAAGCAGTAAT